CACACACACACACACACACAGCAACTTATTTTATTTCAGCTAGCTGCCAAGGCAAAATTTAAAAACTAAAACTAAAAACTGAAATACAATTATTAAAAACTACACTACTGGTCAAAACATTTTGGAATAATTATGATTTTTTTTTTTTATTGTTTTTAAAATTAGTCTCTTATTTTTTAAATTAATCTCTTATTTAGTCTCATTTATTTATGAAAGTACAGTAAAACATTAATATTGTGAAATATGATTACAATTTAAAATAACTGTTTTCTATGTGAATATATTGTAAACTGTAATTTATTCCTGTGATCAAAGCTGAAGTTTCATTACTCAGTGTCACATGATTTCTTCAGAAATCATGCTGATTTGCTGCTCAGGAAAAACAACAACCAACCCACCAACCAACCAAACAAGCAACCAAACAAAAACCCTCTTACTATTATCAATGTCCTTTCGTTTTTCAAAAACATTTAAAAATCTTAATTAAAAAAATTAGAATTGACAAAAAATAAAATTACTAAAACTTAAACATTAAAATAATATATTAATACAAACTTGAATGGTAACTGCAATAACACTCAGGCCCAAAGACTTTCTGAAATACTGTGTATTCCAAGATGACTGACTCAAAACGGAGGAAGAAATTCAGTAGCTCGTGATATGTTACTAGGTCTTAGTACAGTAATAGCAGTCAGTCTTATCCCTAACCTTAATTTAATGTTTATTTTCATGTCTCCAGTGCAAGAGGAGCGACCTTACACTTTCTTTTCACCATATTAGGAGCTCATATCACACCGTTGTATAAACAGTGCGTGTGCAGATGTGTCAGGGAGGTGCTTTATGAGTGAGTTAGTATCATGTCAACACCATATTTTTCCTGGAAAACCTGGTAGTTAAAGCTTTACTTTAGACTCAGTGGCTGGGACGTCTTCTGTAATGATAAGTTTTTAGGAGAAGTCTGTCCTCGCAAGAGATGCACTGCTGTTCAGCCCAGGCTATAGTTAAAACCACCAGAGCTACAACCAAAACCATTTACTGTAAGCTTCTAGTTCTAGCTTTCTTTCTTTTTTGAAGCAGGCAGACATAACTTCATGCTTTGTGTTTTTAGTGTGATACAGCAATGTATCAGTTAGGCTGATTTGTTTAAGACGATATTTGCATATTTTTTAATTAAAGCCATCTGTTGATAATGCTATTTCGTCTGCTGACAGTCATACTTATACAAGTGTAGTCTAAAATACATTCCCACTCACCATCCTCTTTTTAGACCACAAAATGACAAAATTATAATTGAGACTTTTTTTTTTTTTTTTTTTAGCTTTAAACCATTGCTTCCCGGTTAAAATATGAAAAAAACCCCCAAAACATAAAAAAGTCATCTGGTCTGAATCAGGATAGAAATCTGCACAGATCAAACTCTGTTTACAAGTCAGTCCAAAACAGTTCAAAACAAATATGTGGGTGGATTTTGATGTGAGAGGAAAACAGGAGATGGACTTTTTTTTCACTGGAGGAAGCGTTATTATGGATTATGGACTCGTATTTTGGCCTGAAGAGACAGTTTAAAGTAAAAACGTCTTAGTGATGCATTTGTTTCTTATAAATATGCAGCTATTCACTGCTCAAGATGTTAATTGATGGACTGGAGTGGTGTGGATTACTGTGATGTTTTTATCAGCTGTTTGGACTCTCATTCTGACGGCACCCATTCACTGCAGAGCATCCACTGGTGAGCAAGTGATGTAATGTAATGCTACATTTATCAAAATTTGATGAATAAATAAAAACTCATCTACATCTTGGATGGCCTGAGGATGAGCACATTTGTAGCAAATTTTCATTTTTGGTTGTTCTTTTAGGATGAAACTATACAGAAAGTTGAAGTAGTAGTAGTAGTAGTAGTATACTTTATTGTCCTCAAGAGGAAAATTGTTATGGACTACATGTTGCTGCAGACATACAATAAACATATAAAAAACTAAATTAAATAAAATCAAGATGAACTCTTGTTCAGACTTCATTCTTCTTCATTCTTCAACTCTGGAAAATATGTCTTGAGTGCCCATTTATTTAGGAGAATCTCCTCTGCAGGGTACAGAAATAGCCAGCAGCCACTCCCTCAGTCTCCATAGTTCTGCCACGAGGCGGTTCTATCGCTTCATTCCTCTTGCCGTCCTGACAGAGAGATTTCTGTGCGAGTCTACCCTGCCCCATCACCCCCTCCACCCAGCAGCCCAGGAAATATCACCTGCCACACCCAACCAGCACAGCCACTCAATGATCTGAACAGTTGCCCTGTCCATTTGACTTTGATACGCTCAGTTGGAAAAAAAAAAAAATCATATAACTAAAAAGTGCTGACCAAGTGTTGACTGCTGATTTTAGAGATTAATTAGTATTAGAATTAGCATTACTATAGTATTTATTATTATTTTGAAAACAAATTGCTATTTTTATATTTTCATTTTTATTTTAGTTTTCATAATTTTGTTGATTTTGGCATTTTTATGAGCTTTTCTTTAATAATTTTTTTTTTTAATCATTTTAGTACTTCAACTCAAACTGACTTAACAGCTGTCAACAGTATTTCTAATTTTAATTTAGTTTAAGTTTTACCATCTAACACACACACACACACACACACACACACACACACACACACACACACACACACACACAGACAGGTTTGTTTTTGTGAAAAGTGGGGAGTCTCCATAGGCGTAATGGTTTTTATACTGTACAGACCGTATATTCTATTGCCCTACACCAACCCTACCCCTAAACCTACCCCTAAACATTCCAAACAGACATTCTAAGACAACATCCTGTGCAGAGAGGAAACACACCCTAGAGACTTAAAATCTAAACAATGAATTGGACGTTCCATGGATGACATCATTGAAGAGTAAATTAGCAATAAACTCGATGTAATTCAGAACATCCACTCATTACTTTCAAACAGAGCGTGAGGGCATCATCCACTTCAATCACAAACTAACTGATTACATATTCACTTCTGAGGACCAAAAGGTAGCACATAACTTACGTAATATGAGATTTCAAAATCCAAACATCTTCCAAACACTCCCACACAGCTCACTTGAATAAACTGAATAACAATTGATTCCATCAAAACCAGAAAACCAGTTAGCCCTCCAAACAGCATTTCAAACCCTTGAGATAACCAATCTCTTTGGGCTAAACTGCTGGTTTCTTCAAACATTCAGAGACCTTGAGACATTCAACTTCAGCCTTTTAAAAGAAATCAAAAGACCCTCCTGACCTGCTCTAAAAAAAGAAAAACTAATAACTTAACACACATACTAATACACTAAACCTTAATTAAGCCAACTTAGTTTCCAAAAACACCAATTTTAACAACAGTTATATTGGAATATTCCAATGTTCCGACATTTAGTGTTGGAATATTAACTGTTCCAGTGGTGATGGGAACTTCTGTACCAAATTAATGGGAAAAAAATGTGCATTTAATGACCATTAGAAAGCTATTTTATAAGTATATGCTTATGTGCAACTGTTTCTTGTTTATGCATAACATGTCCTCTTATTATATTGTAAATTGAATTCCCAATGCGTTCCAGTTTTGTTTGTGATTTGGTTCAGTTAATTAAGATACACTGCAACCATGGTTAGTATCACGTGTAGCACTTCTTGCACAATTTAGGTGGTTTTCTGTGCTAAAACATGCTGGCAATGCGCTAAACCATGGTAGCAAACTGTTAAACAATATAGAAATATTTGGCAACATGCTAAAACATACAAGCAGCAAGAAAAATATTAAAACATGTTAGAAACCTGCAAATCTTGCTAAAACGTTAACAATTCGTTTAAACATGAATAAGCTTCTAGAAACATGCTTAATGACGTCAACAGAACAAACTGGCATCTTCTAGAAACATGCTAAACATGCTAGCAACACTTAGCGACATGTTAGAATATGTTAACAAGTTCTAGTAACATGCTAGCAATTATTAACAGCCCTCAGCTTCATGTTCGAACATGCTAAAAGCCAACCCAGGCTCATTTGAAATACGTGCCTCTAAATACATTTCTGCAACACCGATATTATGTACCTTACTGCACGTTTCAAAGTGAAATGTGCAGATAGTGAAACCTATACATATGACGCTGGATATGTGACGCTAACATTCAAAATATCAGTTTTGAAATCTCGCAGCATGTTAAAATAGTTTTGAATATATAACATAATATTCCTCAAGCAATTGTGCGAAAATTAGGCTTTATTACAGTAATAGAAACTGTGGACCTGTAAATCATACTTTGTGTGAAAAGGAATAAAAGTTGTTGGCGTTTTACTGCTTATAGTGTTTATTTCAACTGGAAACTGCAGCGATTCGTATGTATAGGTATGTTTTTTCAGTTTTGCAGAAATGTATTTAGAGGCACGTATTTCGAATGATCCTAAGTTGCTAAAAGCAGTTGGTTGTCTGCTTTTAAAATTGGTTCAAACTTAAAATCTTTTAAATTCAAGATATTAAATCGTTTTTTTTCATACTTTCTGGACAGGCTTTTTATTAGATTGTAAATCTAATTCCCAATGTGTTACACTTCGATGCGATTCAAGCATATCAGCTCATTATCCTACACCACAGCCATGGTTAGTATCACTCCTCGCACGATTTAGTTGATTTTCTAGCACAAGTCACAACATCATGTTTTTGACGCAACAGTGCTGTTTGATTGTCAAAATATCCTGCTGCAGAGCAATCAACTGAAACACGCATTGGTTTGGCAATGCATCTCATATGAGGAACCTTAAAATGACATCTGGAGAGGTTCAAATACGGCTACCAGATGAGCTTGAAGGGAGCAGCTTTGAAGTTCTCATAATTAAAAGCAAATCTGAGCACAAATACAGATCCCACTGAAGTCGGGAGGAAATGACTCCAGTGTTTGGGACAGTGGTTGCTTAATGGATGCTGTTGCAGGAAATAAACATATAACCCCCAAAACATCCCTTATTTTCTAAGATGAGATAGAAAGTGGGGTCCCACTTTATATTAAGTGGCCTTAACTACTATGTACTTACATTTAAATGAATCATTTGGTACAATGCACTTATTGTGTACATACATGTTTTTACATTGTACTTATACTTTAAAAATGCCTGCATGTAATTACATCTGTAATTAATTTCTGTAACTACATTTATAATTACACTGTTGACCCATACACTGTGACCCATGTAAGGACACCTTAACCCACACTTAAACCTACCCATACCACCAAACCTGTCCCCAACCTCACCCGTTTCCCACCTCAATAGCAGCAAAAGTGTTTTGTAATATGAACACAAAAAGTACATTGTACTTATTTTTTGATGTACACTCTTAAAAATAATGGTGCTTCAAAAGGTTCTTCACAGCGATGCCATAGAAGAACCATTTTTGGTTCCACAAAGAAGCATTCAGTCAAAGGTTCTTTAAAGAACCATCTCTTTCTTACCTTTTTGTAATCTGAAGAACCTTTTTTCACCACAAAGAACCTTTTGTGAAACAGAAAGGTTCTTCAGATGTTAAAGGTTTTTTATGGAACCATTTAGACAAAAAGGTTCTTCTATGGCATCGTGAAGCACCTTTATTTTTAAGAGTGTAGGTACATAGTAGTTAAGGCCACTTAATATAAAGTGGGACCGAAAGTGGAAAGTAAACGCTGGGTTATTTTTCATCTGAAAACATTACTGTACCTGTGAATGGCATCTTCTAGTGTCTTGACGTGAAGTTCATCTTGCTCGACCTGTTTCCTCCGACCTTCATCTTCCTCTTGTGGCATTGCTGGTGTCCCCTGCAGAAGCCATCTCTCCCTCATGGCTTTAGACTGTAAGACAAAGACATTTTCTACAGTTAGGTAATTGAACTAGTTCATCGGTGGCCAACTTTGGCCCTGGGAAGCCACATTCCTGCAGAGGTTTGCTCCAACCTTGATAAAAACTAGCCTGCCTGTAGTTTTCTAGAAACTCTTAGACCTTGATTAGCTTGTTCAGGTGTGTTTGATTAGGGTTGGAGCTGAACTCTGCAGGACTGTGGCTCTCAGGACCGACGCTGGCCAGCCCTGATCTTAGAGGATTTATGAGGTGTTCATCACACACGTGTTTGGGATTGACAAAAGTCTTAGTACTGCAAGAGGTGTGAATCATGTACATAATACAGTTTGCAGGAGACAATCGGCTTTTCTGCCATATTGCACATTTCGCGGCAGTTTCAATGTGAAATGTCCAGTAAGTTGCCCTAAAACACACCACAGATGTTCACAAATACATTTACTGATGCGACCATGCAATTTTTACTTCCTATTTTAATGTGGGTTTGAGCTGTTTTATTGAACCATACAGTAGTTTCACCGTTTTCGTACTGTAGCGCTTCACCTCACAAGTGCAATGCCATATTGCATGAACTACCTAGCAAACCTATTTAGAAAACCCATACATATAAAGCTGTATATGTGACACTAACATTCAAAAGTATCAGTTTTCAAATCTCGCAGCATCTTAAAATTGTTTTGAGGTCATAACCTAATAATGCGCAAGGAATCATGCGAAAAATAGGCTTTCTTAATCGAAACTCGGGCCCTGTAAATCATAACTTGTGTAAGAAAGAAATAGAAGTTGAGTTTTACTGCCTCTAGTGTTCATTTCATCTGGAAACTGCTGCAAGTCATACGTATTGGTACGTTTTTGAGTTTTGCAGAAATGTAGCTAGATTTGTTTTTGTGAAAAGTGGGGAGTCTCCATAGGCGTAATGGTTTTTATACTGTACAGACCGTATATTCTATTGCCCTACACCAACCCTACCCCTAAACCTACCCCTAAACATTCCAAACAGACATTCTAAGACAACATCCTGTGCAGAGAGGAAACACACCCTAGAGACTTAAAATCTAAACAATGAATTGGACGTTCCATGGATGACATCATTGAAGAGTAAATTAGCAATAAACTCGATGTAATTCAGAACATCCACTCATTACTTTCAAACAGAGCGTGAGGGCATCATCCACTTCAATCACAAACTAACTGATTACATATTCACTTCTGAGGACCAAAAGGTAGCACATAACTTACGTAATATGAGATTTCAAAATCCAAACATCTTCCAAACACTCCCACACAGCTCACTTGAATAAACTGAATAACAATTGATTCCATCAAAACCAGAAAACCAGTTAGCCCTCCAAACAGCATTTCAAACCCTTGAGATAACCAATCTCTTTGGGCTAAACTGCTGGTTTCTTCAAACATTCAGAGACCTTGAGACATTCAACTTCAGCCTTTTAAAAGAAATCAAAAGACCCTCCTGACCTGCTCTAAAAAAAGAAAAACTAATAACTTAACACACATACTAATACACTAAACCTTAATTAAGCCAACTTAGTTTCCAAAAACACCAATTTTAACAACAGTTATATTGGAATATTCCAATGTTCCGACATTTAGTGTTGGAATATTAACTGTTCCAGTGGTGATGGGAACTTCTGTACCAAATTAATGGGAAAAAAATGTGCATTTAATGACCATTAGAAAGCTATTTTATAAGTATATGCTTATGTGCAACTGTTTCTTGTTTATGCATAACATGTCCTCTTATTATATTGTAAATTGAATTCCCAATGCGTTCCAGTTTTGTTTGTGATTTGGTTCAGTTAATTAAGATACACTGCAACCATGGTTAGTATCACGTGTAGCACTTCTTGCACAATTTAGGTGGTTTTCTGTGCTAAAACATGCTGGCAATGCGCTAAACCATGGTAGCAAACTGTTAAACAATATAGAAATATTTGGCAACATGCTAAAACATACAAGCAGCAAGAAAAATATTAAAACATGTTAGAAACCTGCAAATCTTGCTAAAACGTTAACAATTCGTTTAAACATGAATAAGCTTCTAGAAACATGCTTAATGACGTCAACAGAACAAACTGGCATCTTCTAGAAACATGCTAAACATGCTAGCAACACTTAGCGACATGTTAGAATATGTTAACAAGTTCTAGTAACATGCTAGCAATTATTAACAGCCCTCAGCTTCATGTTCGAACATGCTAAAAGCCAACCCAGGCTCATTTGAAATACGTGCCTCTAAATACATTTCTGCAACACCGATATTATGTACCTTACTGCACGTTTCAAAGTGAAATGTGCAGATAGTGAAACCTATACATATGACGCTGGATATGTGACGCTAACATTCAAAATATCAGTTTTGAAATCTCGCAGCATGTTAAAATAGTTTTGAATATATAACATAATATTCCTCAAGCAATTGTGCGAAAATTAGGCTTTATTACAGTAATAGAAACTGTGGACCTGTAAATCATACTTTGTGTGAAAAGGAATAAAAGTTGTTGGCGTTTTACTGCTTATAGTGTTTATTTCAACTGGAAACTGCAGCGATTCGTATGTATAGGTATGTTTTTTCAGTTTTGCAGAAATGTATTTAGAGGCACGTATTTCGAATGATCCTAAGTTGCTAAAAGCAGTTGGTTGTCTGCTTTTAAAATTGGTTCAAACTTAAAATCTTTTAAATTCAAGATATTAAATCGTTTTTTTTCATACTTTCTGGACAGGCTTTTTATTAGATTGTAAATCTAATTCCCAATGTGTTACACTTCGATGCGATTCAAGCATATCAGCTCATTATCCTACACCACAGCCATGGTTAGTATCACTCCTCGCACGATTTAGTTGATTTTCTAGCACAAGTCACAACATCATGTTTTTGACGCAACAGTGCTGTTTGATTGTCAAAATATCCTGCTGCAGAGCAATCAACTGAAACACGCATTGGTTTGGCAATGCATCTCATATGAGGAACCTTAAAATGACATCTGGAGAGGTTCAAATACGGCTACCAGATGAGCTTGAAGGGAGCAGCTTTGAAGTTCTCATAATTAAAAGCAAATCTGAGCACAAATACAGATCCCACTGAAGTCGGGAGGAAATGACTCCAGTGTTTGGGACAGTGGTTGCTTAATGGATGCTGTTGCAGGAAATAAACATATAACCCCCAAAACATCCCTTATTTTCTAAGATGAGATAGAAAGTGGGGTCCCACTTTATATTAAGTGGCCTTAACTACTATGTACTTACATTTAAATGAATCATTTGGTACAATGCACTTATTGTGTACATACATGTTTTTACATTGTACTTATACTTTAAAAATGCCTGCATGTAATTACATCTGTAATTAATTTCTGTAACTACATTTATAATTACACTGTTGACCCATACACTGTGACCCATGTAAGGACACCTTAACCCACACTTAAACCTACCCATACCACCAAACCTGTCCCCAACCTCACCCGTTTCCCACCTCAATAGCAGCAAAAGTGTTTTGTAATATGAACACAAAAAGTACATTGTACTTATTTTTTGATGTACACTCTTAAAAATAATGGTGCTTCAAAAGGTTCTTCACAGCGATGCCATAGAAGAACCATTTTTGGTTCCACAAAGAAGCATTCAGTCAAAGGTTCTTTAAAGAACCATCTCTTTCTTACCTTTTTGTAATCTGAAGAACCTTTTTTCACCACAAAGAACCTTTTGTGAAACAGAAAGGTTCTTCAGATGTTAAAGGTTTTTTATGGAACCATTTAGACAAAAAGGTTCTTCTATGGCATCGTGAAGCACCTTTATTTTTAAGAGTGTAGGTACATAGTAGTTAAGGCCACTTAATATAAAGTGGGACCGAAAGTGGAAAGTAAACGCTGGGTTATTTTTCATCTGAAAACATTACTGTACCTGTGAATGGCATCTTCTAGTGTCTTGACGTGAAGTTCATCTTGCTCGACCTGTTTCCTCCGACCTTCATCTTCCTCTTGTGGCATTGCTGGTGTCCCCTGCAGAAGCCATCTCTCCCTCATGGCTTTAGACTGTAAGACAAAGACATTTTCTACAGTTAGGTAATTGAACTAGTTCATCGGTGGCCAACTTTGGCCCTGGGAAGCCACATTCCTGCAGAGGTTTGCTCCAACCTTGATAAAAACTAGCCTGCCTGTAGTTTTCTAGAAACTCTTAGACCTTGATTAGCTTGTTCAGGTGTGTTTGATTAGGGTTGGAGCTGAACTCTGCAGGACTGTGGCTCTCAGGACCGACGCTGGCCAGCCCTGATCTTAGAGGATTTATGAGGTGTTCATCACACACGTGTTTGGGATTGACAAAAGTCTTAGTACTGCAAGAGGTGTGAATCATGTACATAATACAGTTTGCAGGAGACAATCGGCTTTTCTGCCATATTGCACATTTCGCGGCAGTTTCAATGTGAAATGTCCAGTAAGTTGCCCTAAAACACACCACAGATGTTCACAAATACATTTACTGATGCGACCATGCAATTTTTACTTCCTATTTTAATGTGGGTTTGAGCTGTTTTATTGAACCATACAGTAGTTTCACCGTTTTCGTACTGTAGCGCTTCACCTCACAAGTGCAATGCCATATTGCATGAACTACCTAGCAAACCTATTTAGAAAACCCATACATATAAAGCTGTATATGTGACACTAACATTCAAAAGTATCAGTTTTCAAATCTCGCAGCATCTTAAAATTGTTTTGAGGTCATAACCTAATAATGCGCAAGGAATCATGCGAAAAATAGGCTTTCTTAATCGAAACTCGGGCCCTGTAAATCATAACTTGTGTAAGAAAGAAATAGAAGTTGAGTTTTACTGCCTCTAGTGTTCATTTCATCTGGAAACTGCTGCAAGTCATACGTATTGGTACGTTTTTGAGTTTTGCAGAAATGTAGCTAGAGGCACGTATTTCCAATGAGTCTTTAGGTAGTTTAAAGGGGTTGGATGGGCTTGGGAGGCTGGGAGACCTGCTAAACCAAAGTCAATCACGTATTTACATTATTGTATGGATTGTTGCTTACCACAGAAAAAAATACTTTATATGTGCATTGTTTGACATATAAGTTCAGAATATACTGTAAATATCATGTGATGCCAGATTCTCATGTAAACTTGAATACATTTATAACCTGTCCAACATGAACAGCTGTTAACAAAGTCACCAGCTGTGGTTGAACTGACTCTGTGTGAGCTATGTGAGCTATGAGGTCTTTCAAGACCCCTTACGCCTAGTCATCACCTCCATGAAGATCAACCACAGGAACTCAGGACTGTTTCACAAGCTGCTGAAGGTATGCAGTCTTAGATTTCAAGACTTCCCACATGTTTGGCTTCAACAAACTCAGGCTGTTTTAAGACTGTTTTAAAAGCATTCATTTTCAGATCATCATAACTTGATGATTGCACTAAATTCTTGCTAAAAGCAGTTTTGTGTTTTATTGCATGACTCTCTGGGATACTTGATTGTAATTGGCCAATTATGACATTCTGCCAACAAATATATAGTGACCACTACACTGTATAATATTGTCTAAGGCACCACTTCCATACATAGCGCTGTTAGTTTCATTTCATTTGATCATGTATGGTCTGCCGGTCATTATTGCAAAATAAAGCTCTTCTGGGAGACACAAAGCCTTATTTTGAGCACCCTGTGGGATTATTTTGCAGTAATGGTTGGTTGCTTGTATATTATGCAATTACATTAAAGCTACTTGTTCTTGTTCTTGTTTATTTATTTATATAGCACCATTTAAAACACAACCGAGGTTGAACCAAAGTGCTTTACATAAAAAATACAAGAATAGAAACAAACATTGACAACATAAAACACCACATCGACATATAAAACACCACATAGATCATTGTATGCTACCAATATTAGATGTGCTTTCAACAGTTTCTTAAAAATTGACAGTGATTTGGCAGACCTGATCGGCAGGGGCAACTCATTCCAAAGTCTCGGCCCTATCACAGCGAAGGCCCAATCGCCTTTATATAGGCGATTTGTTCTAGACACTACAAGTAATTTTTGATTCTCTGATCGTAATGTTCTAGGAGGATTATATGGGATTAAAAGGTTTGGCAAATACAATGGGACCTGGTTGTTTAAAGATTTGAACACGAACAATACAATTTTATATTTAATTCTAAGATGGACTGGGAGCCAATTTAAAGAAACTAACACAGGGGTAATTGATTCATATTTCTTTACCTTTTTTAGTAACCTCGCCGTAGCATTTTGTACTGATTGTAGTCGAGACAAAGATGTGGCGGTGATGCCAGAATACAAAGAATTGCAGAAATCCAGTCGTGATAGAATAAAGGCATGGATTACTCTTTCAGAGTCTGAGTTTGTTAAGAACGGTTTAACTTTGGCTAATAAACGCAAATGATAAAAACCAGAGTTAATTTGCTTATCTAATTTTAGGTTATTATCAATTAGGAAGCCTAAATCTCTTACAGTTTTTTTCAAATATGGTGCCAGAGGGCTCGCATCTAATAATTTTTTTTGTGGAGTTATTTGGGAGGATAAAAACAATGACCTCTGTTTTTTCCTCATTTAGCATTAAACAATTTTTCGGTCCTTTAAACACTCTAGAAATTACTCAAATTAATTTGTGGAATGTCTGAATGGTAAATACATTTGCGTGTCATCGGCATAACAATGAAATGATACACCATACTTTCTAAAAATGCTGCCCAGAGGGAGCAAGTATAAAGAAAAAAGTATAGGAGAAAGGATAGAGCCTTGCGGAACCCCCCAAGGAAGATGTTTTTTAACTGAGATTTTATTATTATAATTAACTGAAAAACATCTATTGCTCAAATAGGACTGAAATCATTTTAAGACTGTACCCTTTAGCCCTACTGAATGTTCAAGACGGGAGATGAGGATGTTATGGTCGATCATGTCAAAAGCTGCACTCAAATCAAGCAACACCAAAACAACATAATCTCCTTTGTCTAAGGCCAGGAAAATCTCACTTAACACTTTCAATAATGCTGTCTCATTGCTGTGGGCTGTTTTGAACCCTGATTGAAACCTTTCTCCTAAAGAATTTTCACTTAGAAATGAGAGCAGTTGTTGCAATACAACTTTTTCTAAGATTTTTGAGGCAAAGCACAGCTGAGAGATTAATCTGCAATTCTGCATTTCATCCTGAGCTAAATTTGGTCGTTTTAGCTGAGGTGTCACCACAGCATGTTTAAACTCTAGTGGACATATTCCACTAGACAAACTTTTGTTGATCAAATGTGCTAAACTCAGTGATACGCAATCAAAGGTCTGCTTTAACAAACGACTAGGTATGAAATTATTTGCACAGAATGTAGGTTTCATTTTTTGCACAATATCCTGCAGCATAGTCGAAGTAATAGGATCAAAAACCCTCAATTCAGCAGTGCAAGCAGGATAGTCAGATGGATCAGTTTTCACCAGAGGAATCTGCGCACGTTGATCAGCAATCTTTTGACTAAAAATTTTTTGAAAGTCCTCACAGGAAATAACTGAGGACTTTTGATACACATTACTCAAAGGTTGAATTACAGAATTAAGGACACGGTTATTATCATTTAGCCAAGGATTTATCTTTAATTTATGACTTGTAGGTCTTAGTGGGGCAATGCTATCTAAGATGTCCTCACAAGTTGATTTTAATAGAATCCAATGATCATCGGCATTTAAATGCTGTAGAGGTGTTTCCAGCATAGATATATTACATTTTGTTTTAAACAGCGCAGAAAATTCTACATGGGAAGTACTACTTAGTCTCCTTGACCAGCACAAAGAGTCTTCTAGATAAACAGGTTGAATGGCAATAAAAGTCTTAAAAAGGATTGGCATATGATCAGAGAAATTAGTTTCACAAACAGTTACGTCATCAACTTGCAAATTATGGATTAAGATCAGATCTAACATATGGCCTAATTTGTGGGTGGGGCTTTTTACCCATTGCTGCAAATCGAATGACTCAATCAAATTTATAAATTCACTTGAAAGCATGTCATTGCCACAA